CAAACTAATCTCAAGTTTTATTGAGTTTCACATGTTTTATAGTGCAAAAATTTATTTTCTTAAATATTTCCTATCGATGTGGGATACATTTATAGTGCAAAACATTATTCTCTTATGTGCTTTTTTATTGATGTGGGATGCATTGATTAAAGAAAATTAACAGTTTTTAGTAACGAAATATATTTTTTAGTGATAAACTATTTGGTCATTATTGAATGTGTAAGGTATATGTGATCAATATTATAATTTTGTTATAATTGTAATGCATTATAGTGATGATTTTTATCGACAAAAGCTTATTTTATCTCTATGAACATTTTTTGATGACAAAATATATTTTTTATGATGAATTTTTTTGTTCATCATTAAATATGTATGCATTTATGACTAATTTTTTAAATCTGTCAGAATTGTAATAAGTTATAGTGATGATTTTAAAATTCATCACAAATTTCTATCACTAAAAATCATTTTTTCTTGTAGTGGGTTATGTGTCCAGGGATTTATTTCAAGATGATTTGTGAATAATTGCAATCAAAGCAAAATTTTCTTAAGCTGTCCAAATGGTACCGTGAAGATGGTACTTCACCATGAGAAGATGCAGGCTTAATAAGGAACAAGCCTGCCATTTATGTGCAAAGGTAATTAACATACTGTAAATTTAGTTAAAAACTTTTTGATCTTTATCATCAGTCATGACCCTGATCCATAATTTAGAATGCTGATTCGCCTAGCTATTTTAATTTTATTTAAGGAAAGAACTGATGTATTGTTGCGCTACCTGCATGTCATAAGAGTAGACTCATGTAAACTTAAATTTTTATATGAAATAGGAAGAGATGAAGATGGTCTTCTTCTTATTGCATATTTCTTTTTTATCTTTTTGTATTGATTAAGGGGTATCAAATTAAGCTAGACAGCTATTAGTGTTCTGATAGTTATTTGTTAGTGTCAAAACAGTTGTAACATACACAGCACCAATGCACCATGGCCAACTGACTTTCTAGAGACTAAGCCATTATCATTGAACCATTTCTGAGGGTTTTTACTTTTCCTTTTTCTTTTTTCTTTTATTTTTTATTTTTTATTTTTTATTTTTTTTGCAAATACTCGGAAATTAATTGCAAAAACCATTGACTTTCAAAATCTAGTTCTAGAGACCAACCCATGATCATTGAACCATTTTCTGAGCCTTATTTTTTTGCCCCACAAAGACTTGACTTGGAAATTAATTGCAAAAACCATTGACTCTCAAAATCTAGTTCTAGAGACCAACCCATGATCATTGAACCATTTTCTAAACCCTTTTTTCTTCCACAAAGACTCGGAAATTAATTGCAAAAACCATTGACTGTCAAAGTCCAGTAGTCTAGTGTAGTTATGTAGGTTTGTCGACACTTTTTTCCGGTCGACGAAGTAGGCTCACTCGCTGACAAAAAGTACTTGGCTCAAGGAGAAAAAAATCTGCTGGAATCTTACGATCTCAACAACCACTTGGGTCATTTGGCTCAGCAGAAACAATATTATTTTTGGCAAACAGTCTTGAGATGAAAATAGGTTAGTTGACTTAGTCTAGATTAAAACTTTCGGTTGGATCAAAGGTAACTTTAGCTTTGCTAAGTTTAGTTTTATGGGTTAGTGTCAATTTTTAATTAATTGTGATATTGACTCTTAAAACCTTATTGGGTTTTTTGTGAAATGTATAAGTGAATACTCCTTATACTCTATTTTCTAATAAAATATTTTGATTCATAAAAAGAAAAGAAAAAGAGAAAAAAATCTCTATCTAATCAATAAAGCTATATGACTGGACTTTGAGTCTAACTTATTTGTCTTTAAATCTTAAAATATTTAGTTTTAAATTAGTTAATCGAGATTTCAAATTTGACCAACGCCTTAAAAAATCCCCTCCCCTAATCTCCAAATTATAAACTGTTTAAATAATAATAATAATAATAATAAAGCCATGCACCTAAGGGTTGAATCATATGATATAAGTAAATATTATTTTTTAATTTTAATTTTGAAAGATTCAAAAATTATTTTTTTAAATATATTAAATTAATTTAAGAAGAAATTTTTTAAATTGTTTTTAAAAAATTAATTTTAATTTAAACAAAAACTAACACAACAATATTTTAATTATAAATAGTAAAATAAATAAATAAATAAATGTTAAGATGCACTGAGATTTTGGTCATCGGTCAATGTTTTCATTCCCCCGAGTCAAGATTAACCTGTTGTATACGCGTATCTTGTGTCTGCTTTCTTCTTGTTTTCATTATCCATAGTTATGAGATTGTGGAATTTCCTTCTCCTTTGTCTCCTAAGTTTCAAAAGAATCATTTTTATAGCGTAAAATTAAGGTTAGGAGTTTCAAAACAAATTTTTTATTACGTAAAATCAAAGTTAGGTGAAACATTTAATATTTTTTAGTAATCAAAGTATTTTGATGTTTTTTTTTTTTTTGTTTCCCGCCCGATATCCGGAGCTTCGCCCGACTAATTCGGACCCGTCCCACGTCGCGCACCTAAAAATAGTGGGTAAGTCTCCCAGCGGGTTGCTATATTTTGATGTTAATTTATATTTTGATGTTAATTTATACATATTTAGAGATTAATCCATTTCATGTCTTATCAAAGCTAGCCGTTCGCACAGGGACTAAAGGCACTTGAATCCACAACAAAACCTAAACCTAACACAATGAATGGAATGGATCCCAACCCAAAAATGGCTGCAAATTCTCGAATCATTACTCTGCTTCTATCCCTCTTCCTAGCCCTCATTGGAACCTCCCATGGTGGCGGCATAGCCATCTACTGGGGCCAAAACGGAAACGAAGGAACCCTGACCCAAACTTGCGCCACTGGAAGATACTCCTACGTTAACATAGCCTTCCTTAGCATATTTGGCAATGGCCGAACCCCTGGACTTAACCTGGCTAGCCACTGCAACACCGCATCCAATGGCTGCACGGCCGTCAGCAACGGCATCAGAAGCTGCCAAAGTCGAGGAATCAAAGTGATGCTCTCCATCGGAGGTGCTATCGGAACCTACTCTCTATCTTCTTCTGCGGACGCAAAGAATGTGGCAGATTACCTCTGGAACAACTACTTGGGTGGGCAATCATCATCCCGTCCTTTAGGTGATGCTGTCTTGGATGGTATTGATTTCGACATCGAGCAGGGATCAACTGGGTTCTATGACGACCTTGCTCGCTACCTTTCCGCCTATAGCAGTCGAGGAAGAAAGGTATATTTAACAGCAGCCCCTCAGTGCCCATTTCCGGACAGTTTCATGGGGACTGCCCTTAACACCGGACTCTTCGACAACGTTTGGGTTCAATTCTACATCAATCCACCATGCCAGTACAGTTCGGGTAACATCAACAACCTCATCAGTTCATGGAACCGGTGGACATCGTCAATAAATGCAGGGAAGATATTTTTGGGATTGTCAGCTTCGCCAGAAGCGATTGGAAGTGGGTATATTCCAACGAATGTGCTGACTTCTCAAATACTGCCGGTGATAAAAAGGTCAGCTAAGTACGGTGGGGTTATGCTATGGTCCAAATACTATGATGATAAGAATGGATATAGTGCCTCCATTGTGAACAGTGTATGAGGAAGTGGTACACTAGGTAATCCAGTTTAGTGTAATTTTTTTAATAATAACGAAGTAAATTGATGGCATTCCTAGGGATGGTTCCATGATTTGGGCTTATGATTGGTTATCCTGGTTAGGTTTTGAATTAAACAACATATGTGCTTTTAACTTCATTTATATTTTTCTTTATGGTATTTTCTCTTTAACTTATATAGGAAAATTTTGTTAGCAAGAGAGAATATTTGAAGATAATTAACCGGACTTTTGTGTGGTCCATAAGACTTCATCCATTAAATAGGCTAGGTAGGGAGTTGGGTATTTCATTATCTGTATCAATATACGGTCATTTAGTACGGTGGATAATTTTTTACTACTACCATACTAGTTTTTACTTCTAGTTGATCCATTACCTTTATAGTGAAAAATTGCATTCGTTTGCTTGTACTCATAAATTGTTCCTTTCTTATTTTAAATTTTTCGAGGGTTTATTATTAGTTTCTCATTTTTTTAATTATAAAAATATTTTTTTTAATTTCTTATTTGAACTTTATTGTTATTCATTTACTTTAATTAATTGTATAATCACAAAAAAATCTCTATTTATTTTTTTTATTTTTTTAAAGTATTATAGATAAACATATAAATCATTTCTAAATCCTTAATTTTAAAAAAAATAACAATTATTTTGAGACAAATAGAGTAACAAGTTATTAGGTAAATGGATAATTATTCTCTTCATCCATTTTCTTTTAAAATTATTATTCAAGATTGTGCTCATATATTTGAAACTTTAATTTTTTTTAATGTAACTATAAAATATTTTGTAATTTAACTGTAAAAAATTCAATAAGCTTAAGATGTGTTTGATTTGGCTGATTTTATTAGTTTATAGTTTTTTTTTTCATTAAACAGTTGATTAAGGCATTAGAAAACATAAGCTTATAAGTTAATTTCAAACTAATAAGTGTTGTTCTATTAACTATCAACCAACAGTTACATGCTCTCAACTGTTGAGAACAATCAAACCAAATAGAACTTTGAAATAAAAGCAATAAAAATATGCTAAATCTGCATCCCCAAGGAGTGGCTCAAGGATTTGGGGCTCAAAATTGGAGTTCTTACTATTCAAATATTTAGCAAAGTGAAAAGGAATTTTAGAAAATGAGTAGTTTGGACTTTGGACTCTTTTTATTAACTGATGTAATAAAAGAAAAGTTTTTCTAACTTATGTACCCTAAAGGCACAATTAAAAATGTATTAATTATATATTTTTATAATTAATTCGCATAAAAAATAAAAGTTAATTTTAAATTTATTAATTACTTAACTAAAATTATCCACATAACATCAATTTTAAAAATAATATTTACGTTTATATTTTCTTATAAAAATTTATAATAAAAAATACAATTAATTTACTCTTAAGGTATAAATTAAAAAATACATAATAAGACATCAAGTTAAATCT